ATTTTTCTCAAAAAAGCAGCAAAAATGTTTATATCACCTTGATGTCAAAATACTTCCACTTAGGTTGGGGTCATATATCCTAGTGAAAGTAGTCAAGCAAATAGTCACCTTGCCAAACTAGTTTCTTTTTGTTTTTGTTTTGTTTGTGTGTTTGTTATTTTACTTTAAGTTCTGGGATACAAGTGCAGAACGTGCAGGTTTATTACATAGGTATACATGTGCCATGGTGGTTTGCTGCATCTACCAACCTGTCATCTAGGTTTTAAGCCCCAAGTGCATTAGGTATTTGTTCTAATGCTCTCCCTTCCCTTGCCCCCCACCCCCAAACAGGCCCCAGTGCGTGATGTTCTCCTCCCTGTGTCCATGTGTTCTCGTTGTTCAACTCCCACTTAGGAGTGAGAATGTGTGGTATGCCAAACTAGTTTCTATTGTTGACTACTCATTCCTCATTCTTTAACCTGAACTCCCTGGAGCAAAAGTAGAAAGTTAATCAAGCTACTGCCTAGTGCCTAAGGTGTCATGAGGACTGTGAGAAAGAATAAAACATCATTCCAGCATTGGGAGGGAATGGACTAGGCCATAGGGCACTGGGACAGCTGTCTTTGACTCAGTTGTCATTAGAATAGGACTAGCATTGAATAAAATTCTAAAGTTTGGTTTGAACCTTTATTAGTTAATTAGTATTAATTCATTTATCATGGGAACTATGCTACCTGCTACACTCTTCAGCCACCCAAAACCAGCTGTAAACTGCTCTTTCCCCATTTCCAGCCATCCCCTTCTCCTCTAATGAAGCCCTCCCTCTTCCTTATATCGCTCATTGACACTTTACACAGGAGAACTGAATTACAGTTGTGGTACCCTAACGGTCATATGTTTGGCCACTCACCCAAAACAGGATTCCTTTTCACCACATTCAGAATGGATAATCAGATGGTTATCTGCATGAACCTTTAAGTATTAAGAATCCCCTTCCCCTTAAAGTCACTTATCCTTGGGTTAATGTTTTCTTTAGATAGAGTCTCCTTGAAGGAGGCCCAGGCCTACTTCCTGAAATTCTCATTCTGTCATTTGAAATCTGCTCTCTTGAAAGATAGGCCAGATCTACTACTTCAGCATTCAAATATTTTAGGTCAGCATTTCTATTACCGCACAGCCTTTGCAACTTCAGATTAAATATCAGTTTCTTTCGTGGATTTCGAAGGTTTGTGAAATGACCAAGTTTTCACCATCTTCCCCTCCCTAGCCTCACTACCCTCTTCAGAACTTGTTGGATGCCTCAATGTCTTTCAAAGGTGTGACCTCCAGACCAGAGTTTAGTGCTCCACGTGTGCTCTGGCTTGGGTGGAATCCATTGCGTGGTCACTTTTCTCTTTTCTTGAGTTGGATTCCAGAGTTTTTTTCATGCAGCCCAAGTTTCCATTGCCTGGTGTAATGCTTTTGTCAGACTTGCAGTTCATTTGAGCTTATTGGATAATTGTTGGCTCATTAAAAATCCTACCTCTTGTTTTTCACAGAATTAAACTCAAGTTGCTTCTCTCTTTCTAATTAATTGTTAAAATTTAAATGCAAATTTCTAATTTCTTGAATTTTTAAAGTATCATCCTAACCTTTTGATCTAATAAAATTATATATAAATTACAATTGTATTTTAAAACCCCAATTCTCTCTTCTCTTATATTATGCATTCTTCCTAGCTTAGTTGTCTAGTAAAAATTTGAAAATCATAGTCCATGCTTTTATGTAAGTTGCTGATGAAGATGTTAAACAAGATGGGACCAGGTACCTGCAATGGTAGATTTGCCTACTTTATTAATTAGTACCTGATATGCATAGTTCTTCAGTCCATCTGTATGTACAGCTATATTTGCTACATTTTACTGTCTGATCCACAAAGTTTCCAGAAAAATTTGTCCAGCACGCTGCTGAAATCAGTAATTTATCTAAATCTTTTGGAGTCAGGTTCCATGGTAATGGAAGAAAAGTGGATATATGGTTTGTGGGGAAAATATGTGGAGACTGATGAACTCTCAGGGGATCCTTCTACATAGAAGAACTATGTATTATTGTGTTTACCTTTCAGTTTATTCTATCATAGATGGCACTCCTGTCCTAACTAAAATTTTATAATTAGTAGTCCTCATTTTACAATAAATGATGACAATGATGGTGGTGATGATAGTGGTGGTGGTGATCATGGTTATAATGATGGTGATGAACATATATATATATATATATATCTTTCCATGTGCCAGGTACTACAGAAGTGCTTTATACTTTTTATCTCATGTAATCATTGCAACAAACTTGTAGGCTAGGTGTTGCTCACTGACCCTAACCAGTTTAGACGTTCACAACTGTTAGGTTCTCTTTGGTAGATAATGGAAACACTGAAGAAGTGACAAGTGGTAAAAGTTAACTGCCGTACTACCATGTCACTACCAGATTGTATGAAAGAGCAAATTCTTCTACGTAGATAACCATTTAATAGCCAGCAGGCACCAAAAATCCAGCCTGTTTTGGTAGCTTGGAGATAATCAATTTATCTGTCTTTTCAGGCTTTCTAAGCATTTCTTTGCATGAAAAATTTGCCTGATGCAGTCCCAAATGATTGTTGGCTCATTAAAAATCCTAGGCAGTGACTTTTCTAGAATATGGCTTCACCCACTCTGTGGGTACACCCTTTCCAATGATGAGGTCAAGGAAAACGATCAGAAAGTACAGAGAGGAGGCAGAACAATTAGGGAAGAGAGAACTAAAATAGAAGTGAGAGATCAGACAAAAATTCATTTGGGCTACTTGCCACATTTCCAATTTCAAACTCCTTATCCTAAACCGGGTTTGTTTAACTATCAAGAAATAGGTGTGGCCCTTGGGACAAGTTGGCTCAGATTGACATACTACCATGCATACACACACACACACCCACACACACACATAGTGTAAGCAATACTGTTGCTTGAGACAGGTTGTTTCTGATTAAATAAGGACACCCTAGCAAATATCTCAACACTAAAGACTTCTAAGCACTGGCCAAGTTCAGTAAATTTCCTAAAAGGAAGAAGTTTAGTTCTCAGGGTGACTTGAAATTAGAACTCTTTTTTTTTTTTTGCTATTTTTATTTTAAAATGCTTTTGTCTTGGAGAGAGCACTATGTGGAATTAATATCCCCTTCTGTCTCCACAGCACCACACTAGTCAGCCTAACTTAGAGAGGGAAATTCTGTGTTGCCTTTTTTCCAAATACCCGTTAAAGAACTTTTGCTGGGGCTTACCTCTGTGTGTTGATCAAACTGAAAATTTTCCAAGGATCTGAGGCTTCTCTGGAGGGTAGATTGGCGTTAAGATTTCTTCAATAGTGCAAAGGATAATGTTTTTCACAACCAACACAGACGTGCATGCTTACAATTTACCTTCAGTCTGGAAACATGTTAATGAGGCATGGAATTCTAATTGGCTACCCACAGATGGATATGGTACTAAGTATGCTTGAACTGAATAATATAATTTGAAGGCATTTCCACAGGTCAGTTGGCATCTATTGTATAAAAAATGAAAGATTATATATATGTGCATATGCATATATATATATGTAGTATATATACCTATACATAGTATATATACATCAATCTGGGTGAACATAGTATATAGGTATAATATATAGTCTACATATGTGTATGCATCCATATATTATATGCCAACTAAAATATCATTATCAGGCATTTAAGAAACCTACCTAAATCTGCTCTTACCTCATTTCAGATTCCCCATGGGTACTGGAATATTTTATCCTTGGGGATGATTAAGTAAGAAAGATACAACACCAAAGCTGACTTATCATTAGTGACTCAGTACTGGAGAATTGAGAATTATTCAGATGTGCCAAAATCTCTCTTCTGACGCCCTACATGGAGGACAAGTCACTACACTGAAGTTGGCCCTTGTTTGTTCCCTTGTCCTTTGGTTAAGAACTTTGATCAACTGACTTAAGAAGGCCTCAGATTTGGGAGACCCTTTGCTTTTTCATGCCCTAATTTGGTCTCCAGGGGTTTCTGTGCTGTCTTTAAGTAGATAAGGGAGACCCTACTTCTTACTGATAAATAAACTACAGATATACCAAAGGTACCTGCTTCAACATGACCATTGCCTTATTTGGACCGTTAACAGTGTGTACTTAAGGCTCCCACGCAGTGAATATCCTTCATCTCCTAGCAGATTACAATCTGCTACTATAATAACTCCCCATCTCTGTTGCATTGTTAGCTGTCCTTGTGTGTGTGTTGTGTGTGTAAACTATTTGACCTTGTATTTCATCAATTTGTACCAAACTAACTCTTTGCTATTGATGAGAACAGTATCCTTTCTACACATAAGTTCCACTTATTCAAGAGGACTATTATGTGATAATGTCTCTCAGTTGATTAGAACATAGTGTTACCGAGGTATGATTTATTTTATAGTCATTTTATTAATGACAACTGTAAAATATACCCATTACTTGCCATGGAACAGATCACGTGCTGAGTGTTGGACTTGCCTTATGTTTCTCTGTGCAAGAGTTGACTCTGATGATCACTCAAGTATTTCCAGAAGGGAAAGGTGAGAAGTGATTGGTCAATGCCTAAGGCTCTCACAACTTGTGGTCTACAACCCTGTTTGACAGTGAGCTGTTTGGGCCTCGGTAGGAATTTTCCCACAGAAAGGATGTTCTCACTGGCAGGCTCCCAGGACCGCCCACAAATCCATTTAACCATAACAGAGCTGACAGCACTGTCAGGGCTGGAGTTGACTTCCAAGTGGGAAGTCAGCCTAGTATTAATAGCACAGTTCCAGCTGCACTGTGGGTCCAGCAGACTTCTGATGGACCGGCCTGGGAACCAAGGCACTCTTTGTAACATTTATGGGAAATGGAGTCCTTGTTGAGAATGGTGGAAAGACAGTACTGTGGCGGCACAAGGCCCATGGCTTCTCACTTCCCCTTTCTACTCTAATCACTTCCAGCGCCACTATCCAGCAGGACGAGACCAAGGGGAATCCTAGAGGAATCCTTCTCTAGCCTTCAAGTCTGGGGAGAGCCTACCCTGTTCCTGGCCTGGCTCACTTAGGTCGACTGTTCTCATGTACAGGATCTTTGTAAGTTGGTTGTTTCTAGGGCACCTGTATTTAGTTATATGATATGAATGTTTATTTTAATGTAGTAGCTCTGGATCCAGGCACAAATATATTAGAATGTAAGGTTCATTTTTATTTTTAAAAGATTTTACTTCATTTTGACTAATTTCAGTTTTGATTATGATCTCCTGCTTCTTTACCAGTTTAAAGCCATCATTTTTATGCAAATAAAATGAGTGTGCATGATTGTAGTAAAACATTCCATTTTGTGGTTATAGGAGGAAATGGGAGAAGTGGGTGGTGCATTGTGTGTGTGTGTGTGTGTGTGTGTGTGTGTGTATGTGTGTGTGTGTGTAATTTGAATATGACCTAAAGGAGGGGGGTGTTTGTTGCACCAAGACATACTTCAAGGAATTAAAAATTGTGTTGTACTAAAGGGAGGTCTTTTTCACTAATAACTTAGAAGTATTGCAGACCATTTAGTGTTTTTTGTTGGCCAGAAGTATTATAATTAACAGACTTTTTCCCCCCTGGGAGCTCTTTGAATGCATAATTTCTTTAAAAAGATTTTTAAAGACTGACCGACCACCTGAAAATTATTTTCTGCTAATCCCAAGCAAATGTCTCTGTAATATAAATACTGCTTTAAAGTTATCTTATGGGGTACATATGACCCAAAGGGAAAATAACTTGTTTATTAAGTTGATTTTCTTTCTTTTTTTATGATTCACAAATTGTCAAATTCATCCTGTTTGGGACAGTAGAAATATGGAAACATGTAAATGAATAACATTTTTAAAGTGTAAATCAACTAAAATGTATATGAAGCCCTGCTGGATTCTTAGGCAGTCTCTTGATATTTCTAAGTCACACTTCTCTCTTCTAGGATTCTATTTTGGGACATAGTCATAAACACAAAAGGAAGATTTCAGCACCAAATTATATTCATCTTTAAAATATTGGGGCCCTTCAGCCCTTCTAAACACTGGAAAACTCTCTGGAGTTTGGTTTGCCAAGACATGGGAAACTTTTTTTCCAGAATATTTTTAAGGGAAAATTATATTTTAGGGTTATGAATGTAGAATGATAACACAGATAATTTACCATATTTAATAAACCTCTATAGCTAAGTCTAGGTTCTCTTTGAAAGATCTTGTTTTTTTTCACCCAGCCCCATAGTTACATATTTGAGGGAGTGAAACTGAGCATACAGGATTTTTGGAGTGGCAGGTCCATTTGAAATCCTTCTCATCCAATGTGTTCGTTTTGTAGAAAAGGGAACTGGAGCCCAGAGGGATTCAGTGACTTGAGCAAGGCTACTGTTGGTAATGGCAATAGTAGGAGTGGCCATCATTTACTGAAGGTCTTCTTTTTCTGGATTTCCTTACATTTTATTTTACCCTCACAACCACCTTGTAAAGCAGGGGGCCATATTCCAGTTTTACAAGTGAGAAATCTGAAGTTTGGGAAGTCCTCTAGCTGTTCAAAGTCAACAGGTACTAAGAGGCAGAGCAAGAATCCACTGATTGTGGATGCCTGATGGCTTCTGCCTCAGGGTGTTTTCCATTATACCAGACATTTCCCAGGTCTAAGTAGAAATACAAGAAGCATTCCTTCTTTATACATGTTTACTTCTAATATATCAAGAACATCTCTATCTAAGCAATCACCCTGATACTCAATCTTTTGGATAGTAGTCTGGGGTATTGGGTCTCCTTACCTTAGTTTTTCTGACAAAAAGTAATCTCCCTCCTACTGGATTTCATAATACTCCAAAATTTGTCTTCAGTGGATACCTCAACATATCCTTTGAAATGTCTATTTTATTTAGATCTGAAGAAGAGTATACTTTTTTTTGCTGTCATTCGGTGATTCATTCATGTATCTATTCACTAAGTATGTTTTGAATGCCTACTATATGCAGATGCTATTCTAGGCTTTGGAGATACAGTTCTGGACAAAATAGACACAAACCCCTGCCCTGATGGTACTTTCTTTCTAGAGGGCCAAAGGATGGCCAATACATACACAGCAAACAATAAGGTAAGTGAGATGGTGATAGATACACTAGAAACAAAAAACAGAGAAGTTTGTTTAATGAGTGGAATGAGACACCAGGAAGATGGGATAGGAGTTACTTAAAAATAAACTTCACTGAGAGGGGAAATTGGGGAGTGCTTCGTATCACATTGTCAATGCAGCAAAAAAATGCCAGTGTCTATTTTTTCAGCAAATTCCTTTCCAAAAACGTAAGTCTTCAATTCCCCACCAATAGTAAAATGCTTATCCTAACTCTGTCTCTATCCTTATGATATCCTCCCATCCACCCTTTATAGAACCCATTGTTATCACTATTATACAAAAAAAAAAAAAAAAAAAACAGGAATAACAGAAGCTCTCTACAGATCTAAGGACAATACAATTTGAGAGTAAGAGAAGCTTAGTGCCTGGCCAATTTTTCCCAAACATCTAATTTATACGGGAGGATCCTGAATTTCAGAAATAGTGAAATTTTGGGAGGCTGGGGCAGGACAGTTGCTTGAGCCCAGGAGTTCGAGACCAGCCTGGGCAACATAGTGAGACCCTGTCTCTTAAAAAAAAAAAACTTTTTTAAATTAGCGGGGTGTGGTGCCCACCTGTAGTCCTAGCAATTTGGGAGGCTGAGGCAGGAGAATCGCTTAAGCCCAGGAGGTCGAGGCTGCAGTGAACCAAGATCACATTGCTGCACTCCAGCCTGGGTAACAGAGCGAGACCGTGTCTCAAACAAAACAAAACAAAACAGAAAAATAAATGTTCGAATGACTAAATGATGACCTCAGATCATATGGCAAGGTGATTATTATTTTATTTCCAGTAAATGATGTGCTGAGTTCCCATGGTGAGCCATGTGATTGAGCTGGATCCAGGGGCCTCAGCACTGACTTCAGAGGAGATGGTCTCTGGCCTGGAGGCACAGAGAAGGAACTGATACAGACAAAGACTTCTGATTGCAACCCAGTGCTCCTTCCCCTATCCCATAATGGGGACTCTTTTCTGTTTTCCAGAGTCTCAGAAGGGTGAGAATGGGGTTCTCAGTTACATTTGTACTTCCTGCTCTGTACTTCAAGTATGTCATAGGTTAAATGAGACTACTTGAGCTGACCTATGAACCAAAACCACTGTATCATTATTTCTATGGGAAAATGCATGTGGACTTTGAAATATCCAGCTATCTTAATAGACTTTCAGAATTGATAAGTGTCTGTGTTGGAAAATATAAGCAAAGATCATTTAGCGTTCAGTGAGGCAAACTCTGGCTGCCCAGCCTCTAAGACATTGACTATCTCCTAGAGAAAACACAATCCTCTGTAGCCCTGAAGGGAGCATCAGATGAGATACAAATAAGTAGTAACAGTGTCTTCCAAATTGTGTGGGGAAAGTTTTCTTCTCTTCACTATGAAGACAAACTGATGGTCACAAATAGTCACTATTTTTTCCACAAAGTGGCAATTTGTGAGTGTGTATACCAGCCATTCTGTAGTTTGTCATAGTTCTCTAGGGGTATGGGGATCTATCACGGGATTGCAGCTCATTTAATCTGTATTTACTACTTTATCTATGGGCTGGACTCATGTTTCTATTAATGGTAGTAGCCAGCACAGTGTCCCAAATGCATGTTGAATGGCATGGAGTGGAAGGACATGTTCTCTTAGCTGTTCTGTATGCTAGCAAGTGTCGTTTTCCCATCTGCCTTCCATAATGGGAATGCCATGGACATTTTGGTTCCTGTTCTACATTCCTATCATCACCTGATTGATTGGAATGATATTGCTATATAATAAGGACTTCGAACATATATAAGCATTCTGAGGAAACATGAGGTTAGATTGAACTGCAGTGGATGCTCTATCACAGTTCAAGGGCAAGATGATTACAGTTGCCTTGACAACCATAGCTCTGCACTCTCTGTTTTATTACATACTCTTTTCCTATTTGGGAATTCTTTTGAGGAGAAACAAAAGAAAGAATGTCAGTAAAGTCTCATTTTCAATTTATGAGGCTTCTGGAAATGATAGAGTCTTATGAAGCTACAAAAACGTCTCCATTTCTTAAATTTCCCCCAAACATTGGAAAGTCCAGGCATATGAAATGAACTAAAAATAAGCTTTTACTTATGTCAAAACACAAATATCATCTTTACTCCCTATAGAGGTAATTATTTTGTAAAGACTGAAAGAAAAGATTGTTTTTCTATTTCTCTCTAGCATACAACTGTGACTTCTATTTTTCTATAAAAAGGGAAATATTTTTGCCTATGAATTTTCATTAGTATTTTTACCTGTATTACAGTTATTCAACTGCAAGTAGGTATATAAATAAAATAGTCTTACTCTAGGAAATGGCTAGGTTGAGAAACTATCAAACAGTAATATTTTAACGATGTGTTAATTTATTAATTACCAACACATCCTCTTTTAGGTTTCCTTTGTAGACCACACTAGTTTTTTTTTTTTTTTTAAGAGAAAAGGTGACAATATTTGGGTCTTTATAATTATTTTTTCTGTATTAAAGCAAAAATGTAGTATAAATGTATACTACTGCATGACTATAAAAGTCATTGAGAAATATTATATTTTATTTTGTCCACTCACTTGTTATTAAGTCTCTCTGTCTCTCTGTCTCTGTCTCTCTCTCTCTCTCTCTCTCTCTCTCTCTCTCTCTCTCTCTTTCTCTCTCTTTCTCTCTTTCTCCCTTTCTCCCTTTCTCTCTTTCTTTCTGAGACAGGGTCTCACTGTGTCACCCAAGCTACAGTGCAGTGGCATGATCTCAGCTCACTGCAACCTCCACCTCCTGGGTTCAAGTGATCCTCCCATCTCAGCCTCCCCAATAGCTTACACTCTGGGCACCCACCACCGTGCCTGGGTAATTTTTGTAGAGACAGGGTTTTGCTGTGTTGCCCAGGCTGGTCTCGAACTCCTGGGCTCCAGTCATCCTCCCCTCTCGGCCTCCCAAAGTGCTGGGATTACAGTGGTTCTATGGAACAAATTTATATGTTAATACTCTAGGATGGGAGTTAGGGAACTTTTCTGTAATAAGACAGATGGTAAGTATTTCAGGCTTTTGAGGCTATACAGATTTTGTCACAACTACTCAACTCTGATGTTGTAGCTGAAAGAAGTCATAGATAATATGCAAACGAATGGACTGGGCTGTGTTAAATTAATACAGCATTTACAGAAACAGACAGTGGACTGGATTTGTCCCAGGGGCTGTAGTTTGCCAACTCCTACTCTAGGAGAAAAATTGTTTTGCTTACTTATCTGTCCACAGTCTACAGGGGAGTGTAGTGCTTCAGGCAAATTGTTTCTTTTATAATATATGCCTAAACTGAGCATGATGGTGCACGCCTATAATCCCAGCTACTTGAGAGGCTGAGGTGGAAGGATCACTTGTGCCCCAGGAGTTTGCATCCATCCTGGGCAGCATAGAAAAACCCTCATCTCTTTTAAAAAAAAAAAATGTGCCTAAAAGGCCATCTTTTCACTCTGCCTTTTGTGTAAAATGTCCCCATTGCTACCATATTGGTTCTATTAGCGAGAAAGGCAGGGGTTACACACTTTTGCAACTCATTAAGGAGGGTAGAAGCAGATATTGATAATAATTTCCTTGTTTTAAAAGCTGTTAGAACATATGAAAAAAAAATCAACTACTAAGATTTCCTTACACCCTAGCTGAACTGCTCAGTTAGAACTGCTCTTGAATATCAAAGGCTAATGTGCCCTCCCTGCATAAGCTGGCAATATAAACTGAGGTAGACACTGTCAGATGTAACCTCTTGGACCCCAGCTGGCCTCCCCATCCCCATGGGGTCTCCATAGTCACCTGGCATCAACAAAAACGTGCTTTTTTCTTTATTTTCCTTTGAAGTATTCACTGGTGCTTTGTTCAAACTGATTTTAACATCCTCTTCAAGTTTTAGTCAGATACTTGGAAGAAAAATACAGAAAAATGAAAACAAATATCTATGTATTTGTTACTCAGATTTAGTAACTGTTAACATTTATTATCATTTGCTTTGGATATTTTTATCTTTTTTAAAATAAAGAATCCCTTTGATTGACACAATTGTAACCCAAGATTTTTCCCCATTCTTTCTAAAGAAGCTATTGTCAGAGGAATCTGAATTCTTTTCCACTTATCAAAATTGGTTATTGAGACGCAAAAGAATAGAAAGAATATTGATTTTATAGTATATATTCAGAGCATCACTGGTGCATAGTACGAACGATTTTATCCAATTTGTATGGTTTTCTGCCCATCGAAGACTGAATAATATCATGAATCTACTCCCAAGAGAGACTTAGAGAATGCATCACATCTCTTTCCTATTGGGAATGGGGTATGAATCTAAGAGACAGTAAATATAAACTATCCTAATTCATAATAGAGAGCTGGATACATTTTTCAATTTCAATGACAACTTTGAAAAGTACATTATTTTTCTCTGCTGCCTTTAACATACTTATTGCCTTGTGGTGTAAATGCTTTCATAAATGCTCTCTCACCTGATCTTGTGTGATAGTTAGAATAGATGGTATTACAGCTCTCTCCCAGGTAAGGGTATGGATGCACTGGGATGTCTGTACAGTGTTTGGCAGTCTTGGCTGGACCTTTGTACCACCTACTGAGCTTTGAAAATGTACTGGTTCAATCCAACCAGTCTGAGCATCAGTATTCTTTTTTTTTTTTTTTTGAGATGGAGTTTCCCTCTTGTTGCCCAGGCTGGAGTACAGTGGTGCAATTTCGGCTCACTGCAATCACCGCCTTCCGGGTTCAAGTGGTTCTCCTGCATCAGCCTCCCGAGAAGCTGGGATTACAGGCACCTGCCACCACCATGCCTGGCTAATTTTTGTATTTTCCTAGTAGAGATGGCATTTCACCATGTTGTTCAGGCTGGTCTTGAACTCCTGACCTGAGGTGATCTACCCACCTCAGCCTCCCAAAGTGTTGTGATTACAGGCGTGAGCCACCGCGCCTGGCTGGGCATCAGTATTCTTAATTGATTCTACTGTACTGCTGAGGTTGAGAACCCCAGTGGACCAGTGGTTCTCAACTAGGGACTGTTTGCCCCTGCAAGGGGATATCTGACAATGAGACTTTTTTATTATCACAAATGAGAAGGGGCATCCCCTGGCATCTAGTAGGTAGAGACCAGGAATGCTGCCAAATATCCTATAGCACCCCTCCAACATAGAATTATCTGGCCTCAAAGGTCAATAATGCTTATGTTGAGTAACCCTGATTTAAGCTAGACTAAAGTCCCTCTGACTCTAAGCCATATTGTTTCCTCAGTCTCAAGTTGCTAGATTATTCAAATTAGTCATCTTGTTATTATTGCTG